TATATATATATATATACCATAAACATTAACTTTTACTTTTACTTCATGTCAATATCAATCAAATCCACAATATTCAAAGAAAATACTAAACTGAGCAGATTTGATTAGAAGATTACATATCAATTTTAGTTGATGTTGTCCAAAGAAAACAAACCATAAAAAGGAATACATGCATTTACTGCTTATTGTAACATTATCTGAGTAAGAAATAATACATGATATGTTTAATATTTAATTACATACGTCAAAATGCTTTGACAAATAAAGTCAAATTGTTTCAAGCCTATTTATTAACTTTTCATTTAGTAGTAGTAGTCTTATAATGTAAAGTTAATCTTCAACTAAACACTTTAATGGTTTGGAAAGTGACACTTGTGCTCTAACGAAATATTCAATTTGATGACATAACGTTCAGTTGAATTTGACAGCCTAAGAAAAAACAAAACACTAATTTGATAGAAGAAAATGTGTTGGTAAATGAATTTTACCACTTGATCGGTGTGTTTTCTAATCAAAATACGCGTTTAATAATCAATAAATTCTAAACCAAGTGGATAAATATTTAATTTGACCGTCTAGGGTGTGTTTGGTACAAAAAAAAATAGTTCTAAAAAACTAATCAAAAGCAAAACAGGTAAAACTGCAACAATAGCAAATATGAAAAACTAGATCTTGGTCATCCGTAGTCATTACTTGTACTAATGTCCCTTTTTAGCTTTTCCTCCATATATAATTTAATTTTACTAGTTATCATTCATATACAAATAAATAAGAGAATCAATTGCTCGAGTAATCAGACCGTGAATGATTTAAGAGATAATAACAAACAAATTTATGAAAATAATATAAAATCTAATACCTTTATGGTGTGGTATACCGATTAGGTTTCGAATTCAAGAAAAACACAACAAATCAACGAAAAAAATTTGCCGCTGCTGAAAGCCTTTTGCAATGAAAGTAAGCCCTAAACTTTTTACTTATATAAGTACTAGAGGAATTGCGGACTCATAAACTCAATAAGAAATTTGAAGAGATTTCGACAATCTAACATTTATTAATTTTATTCTATATAATATACTTATAAATAAAGTGCTTATTTTAGTCATTTAATAATTTTTATTTATTTAGAAGAAGATATTATCCACACGGTGTGAATAATACTGGGTATGTTGTTGTTGTTGTTAGAAGAAGATATATATATATATATATAAGCATTTTATGTCATGTATACTATTCTTTATATAAGTTGCTTTTTTTTAGATTTTAGCAAATCATACAATCACAAAAATTTGCAATACACTGCCTAACATTTTTTAATCTCTCAATATCATGATAATATTTTTAGATGTGGAACTTATAATATAATCTAGCGACTTAGAGGTTGTTCTATTTGGTTGCATCAATACATATTTCAATATATATAATGTTCTGCATAAGTATACAATAACAATATTTGATTTGACACATAAGAAAAAAATATTATCCGATTAATGCAGTGTTTGGTTGACTATATTAAACTCTACATATAAGTAATGCAACATTTCTTAATAGTATTAAACTCAGCATTACAATACCTATATAATTATAATAGAAAGTATGGGAGTATTATTTTATGTGAAATAACACTAAAGATAAAAATATCTTTAAACTAAATAATCATTGCATAATAATCGATGTATCATTATTATTGCATAGTGATCCAACGTTATTAATAGATGTGATGCGAGGGCATTTTGGTCCAAGACATAATAATGTCAGCAGCCCAATCGATTGCCTCTTTTAAATATTGCTAGTTTTTATTTTTATTTAGTGAAACCGCGAAACTTCGGGGACATTAACTGGCATTTGCTCTTTTTTGGATTTTGTGTTTCACACTTTCCGGGCGCGCGTGCACTAAATGGATCTTTTTTTATGTTTTTTTATGTTTTATTTACAAAATGGATTTTGATTGTGAAAAAGAAAAAGAAAAGAGAAATTGCCACGTAGATTTGGGCTTGTAGTGGGCCCTAGTTTTCAAAATTGCACAAAATGCGGGAGCATTGGTCGACAGGTAGGGGCCCGGTCCACGTAGCTGGAAACCACGTAGGCCTAGGAATTCTTTTGAAAAATTAAGTCAAATAGCTTTCCATTCAACTAGGTAAACTAAAAATAGCCAACACATAATTATATATGTAATATATATAATTAATATATATATATATATATATATATATATATATATATATAATTATATATAATTTATGTATATTGACAAAGAAAAGTAAACATTGAATTTGGCCGACTATTTGTACTAAAATCCCAAAATCCTTGTTTGGCCATAAAAAATCACTTTTTTTCGAAAAAATTTCGCTCTGTAGTGTTTGTCCATAAAAAATTTAAATTTTACTTGAAGTTGAATTTTAAAAATTTAAAAAACTCCAAAAAAGTTATTTTTCAAAATTTACTTCAAATCACTTACTCTTTAAAATTCAAAAAACGGCTTCAAATTGTATTTATGTCCAAATACAATTCTATTTTCAAATATCATTTCACTTTTTTGAAAAATTCACAATTCTAATGTCCAAACGCCCNTTTTATGATGGAAAATGTGTCGAATTATTTTTGAAAGAGTGCAATAAATAAGTAAAATATCTGGTGGGTAGAAAAAGCCGTAATATTTTTCTTAAAAATATTTCTATTTTCAAATAATAGGCTATTTGGCCAAGGTTCTGAAAAATCAGGAGTATTTTTTTCTAGAATAAAACCTACGCGTATTCTGTGAAAGTTAAATTTATTAGACTTGGTATGTCAATTGCCTAAAAAATGAAGTATGTCTTTTCCTCAATTTTTGCTAGAACCAACTGGATGTCATTAGAAAAAAAACTTCTTACATTTTTGCGAAAAATGAAAAAGCTACTCCAGAATCGTTTTCTAATTGTTGTAAGAACTGAATGACTTTTCTTTAATGATGTTAAAATATTGAAAGTTTTTCAAAAAATATTAAATCATTTAAGAAGAGCAAACGCCACAAGTTATATTACTCCTATAGAATGGACTGGTCACTGTGATTGGCTTATCTGATCTGGGGTTTTTATTTTGGCCCTTGATTTGGCGTTTTTCACTTAATTATTTCGTATTTCATCGTTGTTCAAATTGAGCCACAACAAACACTGTATTTATTATAGTTTTAGTATGGAACCTCAGTTGGATATGGCCTATGGGTGCAAGAAACCATTATATTGGTAGCTCGGATTTCCCATACATTTAAGTTTTGTTACATTGTGTTCTTGACATTGCACTAAGGTTTACAGTGTGGACAATAAAAAGAATATTGACCGTTATATTATTTCCTCATTCCATTATTTGAAGCAATTATTCCATCATTTACCAACTCCTAGCGCTTTGAATCTATAAAGTTCAAACTTATTGAGTATTGATTGATAAATTCGTTTTATAAGTAACATAAAATTACTTCTACATTTATGCGTTTCAAGTTTCAACATCACACAATCTTGTTCAACAACTTGCCCCTTTTTGCTCTAATTTTAAAATACGGAAATGGGCCAATCTTGTACTATATGAAAATTTTAAATATATCTCTCTTTATATTTTGGCTTCAAATATACTTCTACCGTAATGCCATTGGTTTAAATATAATCATATTTCGTTAATTTTGTCTAATGTGGACATCCAATTATACGTGACACTGACATTTGGTGATGTGGATGTCACGTGGCATGCCATATTAGTGCCTCTAACCCACTTTACTCATCATCTCTATTTATTTTTTTACCACTAAAATTCTTTCCCCTCCACCATTATTGCTAGCATGAACAATATTGAATTTTCAACTAGTCCACTCAGACCAAATCGGAATATCTAAATAGTATTAGACTGAATGATACCCTGGCCATCTATAAATGCTTTGAGCACGTGAGTCTGCAAAAAAACAAAAAACAA